AGCATTAGCTACATGTGGTTAAAACATTAATTCTATTCATGAGCAACAATATAGCGTGAATACAAACACAAAGGTCTGAGTTTTTACATTACAACACGGCGATTGCAAGGAATGCATTTAAATTGACGATCTAATCGAATACTCATAACAGCAAAGTTCCTCGATCGACCTTGACAAAATAAAAGCTATTTTGTCAAGATAAAACAATAACAGATGTTTAAGCTTACAGGTTAAGAAAGGTGACTAGCGAATTTTATTCTGTAAACTCCGTCAGAAACAAGATATCAAGTAGATTTGCTCGNTTGTATCGTTACCTTTTCTAACATATCTTTGTAATAAAAGACTGGAGCCATCAATACACTGCGTTCAATTCTTGAGAAAAATAGCACAGATAGTGCGGGTGTTGAGTGAATAAAATGATCGCTCTATTGACGGCATGTTTGTTTTTTGCAATCCTTGTGCGTGCGCTAAATTGCATCAGCAAAAGCGCGCGCGAAAACTGTGTTCGGCCACCTTAACTACTAAACCGCTTCCTCAAAGCCGCCTCCTCAAAGCCCCCTCAAACTCTTTTTCCTAAAGAAATTTAGGCAGGCTGGAGATTTGTGATTGTTATTAAATGGGCCTCTGTTTATCCCAAGGTTGGCAAACCCCACGGGTCCGAGTCCGTTAACTGATCTGCGGTCCATGCTAGTTTCGCACACTTCGCAGAACCCACTCCCTCATCAGGCGCAATGTACCACTCCATCGCCAACCCAACACATCCTACAAATGATGAGACGAAAACAAGTGCAGCAACAACAGCAACCGCAGCAGCAACAGCAGCAGCAACAACAACAACAGCAGCAACAGCAGCAACAGCAATCTCAAACTTTACAGCAAGCTATGCATTTCATATCTCAAAACCCCCTTCTCAAACAGCAGTTGCAGTTAGGGCAAACACAAATGACACAACAACAGCAGCAGCAGCAGCAGCAGCAGCAGCAGCCGCAACAACAACAGCAACAGACGAGTCAACAGCTAAGGCATTTACCACAGGCTAACCAGGTAGGAGAGTAATTTACATGTACTTTTAACCCAAGGTTAAGCACCAGACCTCAATTAATCTGTTCCTACTAAAAGGCATCATCGATTTGAGAGTTCGTTGTTTGGGCTACAAGTCGATTAATTCGTCGGAGTGTAGTGACAAAGAATAAAGTGTAACTCATTTACAAGGAACTTCGAGATCTATGAAGTTATCTTTTCAAAACAACCTAACGCACCTTTTACATTTGGTGAATGCGAAGTGCAGTGGCGGCCATTCTTCTTTTTTGTCTTTTTTCTCTAGCTTCAGGTAACGCAAGGTGCAGCTCAGATCCACCCCAACCAGCAATACACATTCCCTCAAGCCCAGCGCCCCCAGACTCTCTCTATAGGTAGGACCCAGATCACAACTCGACCCAATCTTGTTTCCACACCTTCAACACCAATAACAATGACGCTGCCGTCATCACTTTCCGGTATGGTCACGCAACAACAGCAGACGTTCAATCAAGGTACACTTAGTATAGACAGTAACGTCCCTTTTAGCTGACGCTTCAAGCATCAGTCTTTAGAGTTGAGCAAATACAGGAATTTAGACCGTACCAGTGAAGAGTTGCGCCTGGTTTATGGTTCGGCACCGCTTTTCAAACCTGGATTGGTGCTTATGGTTTTAGATTACCTCGTTTCACGTCAATCTCTGGAAGTATCCTAACCAACCAATCAGCAAAATGAAATTAGTAAAATGAAATTTGAAAGTTGCACGCCCACTGCCTTTTGACGTTAGTGATTGACTTTCAGTAACGGTTAATCTGCACTACTTTAAAACCTCTAATTTGGTCCGTTCTTGTTTGAGTTCTTTGTGTATTATTTCGCTTGACCAGTTATAAAGAACCAGCTCGCCCCTTCTGTAGCACTGTGCTTTATAATATTTTAGGACTTTTTATAACACTAATCGCTGGTGTTAACTCTAAGGCGCTAGATTCAGTCGTTTTTTGTTAGCATTAAATTTATTATTACTATTATTATTATTATTATTATTATTATTATTATTGTTGTTGTTGTTGTTGTCGTCGTCGTCGTTGGTATTATTATTATTATATTTATTTATTTTATTGCTTCATGGCATTGTAGTATCGCAAACCCTTTCGCGGGCAATACAGCCACAGCAACAACAGACACAACAGCAGCAGCAGCAACAACAGCAACAAGTACAACAACAACAGCAACAGCACCAACAACAACAGGCGTTTTCTTTGCCTGGGCAGCGGGCTATCCAACCACAGCCGCAGCTCAACATGCAACATACGTTGCCTGTTTCATCGGGCCATGCACAGATGAACCCAGTCTCGCAAATGCAGCAAGCATTTCAACCCCAGTACCAGCAGAGCCCAGTGAATAATAGACAACAACAACAACAACAACAACAACAACAGAGGTTTTTACCCGCTCCGAAGCTGAAGCAACAAGTTCAGCAGCAACAAAATCGCCAGACTTCCAATGCGGAACTGTTTAGGAGACTACAAAGACAAATCTCAGGTACAGTTTTACCTGGATGTAATCTTGCTGGAACTTTCACCTTGACATAAAAGGAACAATTTTGTCTTTGTTTGGAATGTTAAGCATAAGTTACTGCCACAGAGAATCTGGTAACTATTTTGACTTTCTTGGTTATAACTTTAGAAAAGTGAATTTCATTCTTCCGCAGAAAAACATTGGGTGCTTTCGACTCAAGCAAAAATTCGGAAATTTTCGTAACGGGGACAAATTGTTCAGGTAGATTAATTCCTGGGAAAAGTTCCAAAATCCGGGAATTGTCGAATATCCGAAAAGCGATCCATTTAAGTTTACCGTATACCTTCAGGGGTGCCTAGCGTCCAAACGATGTAGGGCGTCCGGTTTTAGCTGTAGATATCTAAAACCCTATATCAAATTAAAGCTTACAGAGCTGGCTATCAGTCTATACCAAGAATTTTGAAATAAAATGACTTGCCGAATTTTTGACGACCACTAAATGCGAGCGCCCTAATCACCTTTTGAAAGCCACAAGTCAAAGAGAGTTTTGTCTTTTGCCAATTTATTTTTTTTCTCGGGTTTAGGACCAAAAGGGCTAAAAAAAAAAGGTATCTGCGTTTTGCCATATTCAATTGCAGTAAAAAGTTACAGAACATTTTCGAAAGAAGATTAAAAAAATGTGAAGTGATCGTACAAAATTCGCTGTCGGAGAAAAAAATATGTCGAAATAAACAATTCTCAGACACGTTTTTGTTTTTTGTATGTTAAACTAGCTACTGTTCAAATTTGAGGGCAAGCGAGCAAATTCCCTTTGAGCTGTAACTCTTGAAAGTGTCTGCTTTGATCATGACTAAAACAGCACACGAGTACATACGAGTAACATACGAGTTCTTACGAGTACATACGAGTACATACGAGCACGAACGAAAGACAAAGAAATGTGAGTCACCGATTGGGGCACAACCTTCAGATGCTCCAAACTACTGAGCTACAGGGAGACGGGGGTAGAATTACCTATTCAATTCATGATATTTTTCTTCTTATTAGGTGGTCAATTTACGCAAACTGCCGACATAACTCTCCAAAGACAGATGTCGGCTCCAGATATTGGGCTTCAGAGACAGGACATTGCCCAGTTTACTCGGCAGTTGTCTACCCCAGCGCCACAGGACCTAGCACAGCAGGCCCAACAACAGCAGTACACTACAAACCCTCAGTATCAAACACCACAGTTCTAAAGGCCACAGGAAAGTTAATAGTGTCACTGTAAGATATGTATAGCTTGACCTCTGAACACGTACCACGGTTATAGAGGGACTTGGTGTTGAAGCAAAATTCAAATTCCCTATAGTGTTCTCGTTAGATAGATTAAAGCGCTATGTGAGAGAATTTGTATTGTACTTCAAGATTTGGTGCGTTGTGCTCTTTACTTACTTTTCTCAGTTTATTTTGTTTTGAGGAAGCTGTGTGGTTGCCTTCAAACTTTGTACTTGTCTTTGTCTGGTAGCTTGTGTTGCGCTTTCCCCGAGATCACTACCAGTTTAGTTTACGGATAACATAGCGATTACGCAGACGAAAGCAAGAATAATCTGCTTGGAAAATCGTGGTAGAAATAGAGGACACGAGAACTTAGAGGTCGCTGACAACAGGTTTCAGCATTTATGCAGCACTTCTACTTTGACAGATCAATATTAACTTTCTTTTTCAGTGGATACTTTGATATCGGCATCAACCAAATACCGAAACATTGATATTTCAAATTACCATGGCAAGCTTATAACCTCCTATAAAATAATACTGTTATCGCTTCAGGTGCGTATAACTCAAAAACGAGTTCGTTCAACCCCATTTTTATCATGGAACTCTAATCAAAATATCAAGATTCAAGCTTTCATTGTGGGAGCGGGTTCACAGCCTCTTTAGATTTTCCAAAAAATAAAGACGCCTGCACCCACAGTTTTGACTTAAAAAGCAGAAGTGCTGAAAAACGCAAGAAACCGTTGTGAGCCACCTTAAGGGCCTCTTAACTCAAGCCCGGTTGAGTTTTAGCCTAGCTGAATTACCGCAGAGAGTGCTAAAAATAAACGCTTTACACGACCCTGGTTGTCAATCTGCAACGGCATATGGTTTGCTTCGACCCTTACCCGGGTCAGCCTTTCTACCGGCGACCAAAAAAACTGAATAGGCCAAAAAGATGGCAAACAAAAAAATCTAGAGTCAAGTATAATGTAATGGTGGGTGGTCATGATGTACAAAAAATAAGAAAAACGAAACAAACAAGGTTATTTAAGTGAAAGTATTTACCCGGGTTAGCTTTTGGCCCAGTGTTTACATGAAAGAATTGAAGAAATCTCAACCGTTGTCGAATCTCGACAAGGGTTACCCGGCATGAGGGGCTGACCCGGCTTGACAACTGTTTTCATGTAAACGGCTTCAAACATTTGACTGCAAAAGGGTTACCCTTCGCACTTATTCAACCCGGGTTAAAAACCGACCTGGGGACGTGTAAAGGGGCGGTTCTTCAGGTATAATAGCGTCATCCTTTAAGGACGACTTCAAGAGAATACTTTATTTCTTTCTCAAGAATCTCACGATAGTCCAACGCTATTCAGTCACGTTACGGTGTCTGAACACTCTTAAATGTTGGTCTTATTATTGAACCAGTAGAATTTTACCGTCGGGTTTTCATCCAGGCACGATATAACACAACAAGTCTTCACACTTTCTAAGTATGGTGGGGAAAAATGAGTTTGCTCTGCGTGCCCCGGTTGTTCAAAAGCCGATTAAAGTAATCGATTATAAACGTTTCAAAGCGTTTTTCGCTGCTTAATTTTTATCCCAGGTTTAAGTAAGTTTGACATTTTTCAGATTTCAAAATGATTGAACTGGATATTCAAAAAGTATATGTGTCACGGGTTTTAGGCAAATTTAGACTTGTGAAACTGGCCACAAAAGCGAGTGAAATATAAAAACTACTTGAAACAGTGAAGGAACATTTCAACAACACAACTAATACAAAAGAAGGTATGGATGGCAACAATTGAAGAAGATTGAAATGGATTGCGATATGATATAGCAGTTTTTGTAAAACTGCAATGCTAAACAGTTTTCAAAGTTACTCTCGTTTGGTTGCAACCTTTAATTGTAACGCTCGGTATACATATTTGTTTGCAATTTAGATCCATAGAAGTATTTGTTCACTGTCAATTAGTTTCGTAGTGGATATTTGGCAATACTTGATAAATTAGACTAAACTAACTTTAACTTTTCTTTGAACAACCGAACCCGGCAGTGTAATTTCATTAAACCTGCGTATGGGAACGCTCTCGGTGCCTCGATGTCGTGGTTTTGAGAACCAGAGAACGTTTGGTGCAAGACGAACTGCGGCTTGGTATACTTAACAGTATGACAATGACAGGTAAATTCAACTTACCACTGAACTTTCAAGTCGATTATGGTTTATTCGTTATTACGTAATTAGCTCAAAGTTCATTCTCAATCCTCTTTTTTTACGCAACTGTTTTCAAGCCTTGAGCATTATTTTTTTTCCAGAGCTATAGTCTGACGTAGTTGTGAATAAAGCTATCGTATTCCTCTTGGAATTGCTTTCATTTAGTTGAAATACGTTTATAGGAATTCGCAGTGTTGCCGAACTTCGCTTGAGCTCCATAGTTTGTCGGCCTGATATTATTGGAAATAACTCATACGCGCGGCCGGCATTATTTTATCAAATGGGGCTGAAACGTCAGCCATGTGCTCAGTGGAAGAATGGCGGCGTGCAAATCCGCCTAAAAATGTTTCAAGTTAATAGGAAAAGGAACTTAATGTGTCTTGTGCAGAAAACGATGATTCATGCATAAATGGGGGGACCACACAGATCGTTAAGTAAGACTGTTAGAAGGGTAAACTTCGACATCAAAACTAGCCTTGATTACCAGCCACTGTTCGAGAAAGGAGACCGCGCTCCTCCCCCGAGTGAGGAGCGGAAATCGAGCCTACATCAAAAGTCATTAAACAATAAAAACAGAATGATGCTTCCTTATTGTAAAAGCAAAGAAAACATAAAGGAAGTACTTCCTTATATATTGGACAGTACGATTGTTAAGAGGGAAACGAGTACGACCTCAAAAGCCGTAGATTTCCCGATTAAATTATTTGGTTCGATTTCTTTTGGTCATTTTTTTTAAATCAGCACAGATATTAAATCACTAGATTATTGTAAAAAAAGTTGTATTGAGTAACAAAGTGGACTGATGTTAATAAAGATTACTGATCTATTTACGGCTCTGTATGGGTTACTGGAATGCATATAACCTTGCCTTGGGCTTCTGTTTTGGGAGGCGATCACTTTAGAGAATATGGCGATTTCGTTACAAATAGCCTATTTAAGCAATCGATGAATTTAACAACAGCTTTCAAATCTCAGTTGACATCACCGAAGTCTAAAAAACACAGAACAACTCGTTTAATTTTGTAGTCGCGAGATCGTCGCTTTATTTAGAAGGCGCTAAAGATAGTAATTGCCTGAGGCTGGCGTGTGGGTAATTGCATAGTGCGGCAAGTTTATAGTTAATAAAGAGGAATGATCATGAGGTCCGACAAAGTTCTTTGTTCTGTGGTTATAGTTCATTGTTTATTTGGCCTTCACCTTGCACACAACACAAAAAAAGGTGTTTACTTCTAACTCATGAATTAACCCATTAAAACGTTTTGGTTAAATACATTTTTCACAATGTATGAGTGCAGAACAAAAGATTGCAAGGTCGTGCACCTTCCGGAATAAATCTTATCATCTTGTTTCATACCGCGTTTCATAGCTCTTTCCTTCTATTAATTATGGCTTGATAAACGAATTTTTGAGGGCAAGTATCACACCCTTTTTGGGGGGCATTTAGGAAACTAAGGACCGATGACAATGTTGCCTGGAGGAAGACGATGGGCGTGGAACCCTGAGAGAAAAGAAAACGATTCTCCCCGATTCTCCCCTTCGCGTTCGCTCTACGCTAATTTTCGAGTGCCAGTGTTTTCAAACCTTACAATAATAGTGGCAATGCATGATCGATGACAGTCGGTAATATTTTGAAAGACGAATGAGAAGTGTTTGAGCCTACGTGACGGATACATTAGATACAGGCAGTAAAGAAGCAAACATCAGACAGACAGACACAGGCCTGAAACCAAACAAGCATAAAAAGAATGTATTGTACAGTTCGTCGCATACGAAAACTGCGCGCAGATGACGAAATTGTGGCCTAGTTACTGTTTTATGGTGAAGGCGAGAGAAAAGAAATTTGCAACGTATGTCGTTGCATTGGCAATTTTGAACATATTTGTGTGTAAAGAGAAATGCAGAGGTGCAGCTAACCCCCAATTGTAAAATTCTAAATTTACACACACTCTTTTATTTTACATAAGAATGTTGTTTTCCCGCCCAGACACAATATTCTTATTTTCTGCCCATTTTAGGCTGAAAATATTCTTAGGAACATTATTAGATCAAAGCGTATGACATTTCTGTTTTATTGACTTTGACGGGTTCAATTATTTTTGGAGCCAGACTGCAGGCAATAAAACCTAATATGACACACATGACATCTTGTAGAAATGCATGTTATTAGCGTGGAACGTTTGGCTAGTGCTGTTTTTGTTTGTTTGTTTGTTTGTTTGTTTTCTGGCTAGTTTTGGCGTTTAGAGACAGGAGTAATTTTAAACGGTTTAGCCAAAAACATATAATTTTATTGTATTTACATATTTCAACACAAAATTATATTCTTTTCAAAATCTCAGCCTCGGGTTTATTCTTAAAATATTCTTAAAATTTGGTAAATTTCAGCCTCGATATTCTTAAAGAAAAAATATGCTGCTACATATGTATGTTATTCGAAATATTTGTTTGAAAAAATGGAATCTGTTGAATCCGCGATTTGCTATTTACTTCCAAAGTCTCGATTAGAAGAGATTTGGTCTCGTTTGGTCTCTTATGAATTGCTGGTTGACTTAAAGCGGGAAAATACGGAAACAGACTTTGGTATTCCATAAAGCAAATTTCAGGGTTCAAAGGTTCTTAGGCACTCACTTCGTTTGTTCGAAACGTTGAAAAAATGAGTCTCTTTCTTGCCACTGACGTATTTTCGCTATTATTAAAAACTGGATCACTGGATAATGCAATTCAACTGAGAGGTTTCATTGGCTGAGCCATCATAGTATATGAGCCATTTTACTATACCATATGAGCTATCTACCATCTCATATCCAACGCGCGCTCGTGGAATAATTGTTAAATAGATCGTTTGCGACTGACCTATCGCCGGCGCCGTCACGTCGGATGGCCATGAACAAAAGTTTAATTACCTTAATTGTTCCTGTCATCCAACATTCGCGTCATCACTACCCCGGAGAAAGTTGAAAACGGAGGTTTCACTCTGAAAACGCGTCAAATGTTTTGCTTCCACACTAGGCCGGAGAAATTAAAAAACGCAACAATTACTGGACAATTTGGATTTGTGTTTCTGGCAGGGAAATTACATGATTATCGTGACGCCATTGTTTTCGAAAAGCTCCCTTGTTTGAAATGTTTTCCGTCCACACTAAAACGAAAAGCCGGCGTTTTCAATTTCCCCCCCGGTTTGAAGAGCGCTTTCGAAAAGCTCTGTTTTCGTGACAGATTTGTGTGGAAGGTGGGCCTTACCGTAGAAATAAAACTGAGTTTTTATATTTCTCCGACGTAGTGTGGAAGGGGCTTGAATCTCTCGGGAATGGTTGCAAACCACCCATACCTTTTTCTATATCTGTGAATATTACTGCAATATTAATGCGTCTGGAAGGTGTTTCTACACACACTCTTCGAATGTGCATTGCACCTTTTTGCACGAAACGAGTGGGCAGGAAATACCTTACCATGATCACAATAGAAGTCACAACTGGCCGCTTGATAATGGACCCATTCCTCTCAAATCATGCCTGTGAAACAAAATGGTGTCGTTTTTTTTTAAAGTTTCTTTTTCAAGGACTTTGTCGGGGCATAGAAAATCGAAGATTCGTCAAATTCAATCTTTTTTCTTACAGGTCTTATTAATTACAAGTAGATTTATTTTATCGAAAAAGGGGCGCTAGGAGCACAGTCAAAAATACGGCCAATGCTGAAGTCAATGCTATAAATGTTTGAATCCTTCGTGCAATTCACAGCTTGTCTCGCGCGATGCAACACAATAGCCCTTTTCACGGTTAATTTTTCTCATTTGCGTTGCAATGTAATCCAACGTGGATGCGAGGCAATTTCGGGCTAAAACTACAAAATAGCCCGAAATTGCCTCACCTACATGCTAGATTTTATTGTGATGCAAATGAGCAAATGTAACCGTGAAAAGGGCTATTCCTTAAAAGTCGAGGAAAAGTTCAACGACATGTGAGTGTAGTACTTCTCGTACAAACAGTATCATTCGATTTTCCCAGCAAAAATGCGTCTGAAATGTCAGCAGAATCAATCCCCTTCCTTATTCCGGTTTTTTTTTTTTGNGGGGGGGGGGGAGATTGAACGAACTTCAGGCAGACTGAATGTAAACCGAGCGCCTCAGAGTGGAAAGTACTATCTCATTTTTTTGCCAAATTATGACCATAATCCTTCAGTTCTTCGTTCAGACTTTCGTTAACGCGATCATCAGTTCTGTAGACTTTCGTTAACGTAATCTTGAGGAATTTAACACGGGTCACTTAGTGTTTTCTTCACCGATTATCGTTAGAGTGTGCTTAAGATTGGATTTCAGCAGTTACTTTATTCCAATCTTTTGAGATTATATTAAGATTTGGTCGCATTTTCGTGCAATGATAGTGTGCAGGAAATGACGCCTATTAGGTTTACTTTTGGGAAGGGGTGGAGGGAGGGAGCGAGGGAGTTGAGTACATGTCAAACGAACACAGCTAAAATTATCCCTTTACTGTGACGGCAAAACTTGCTAAAGCGTGGCATGACCCAGTGGTTACCCGAATAACCTAGACTGTCGGGCGCTTTTGGCATGCACGCGATCTAACAACACGAAATAACCCCGGGGGGTGCTCCCAGAAAAGTTGAGTGGGGGTGTGCGGCCCGCTTCCCAAAACCCTTACCCTATTTATGACCAAAATCTGCCATTTTTGCTACCCTATTTATGACCTGGCCAAAAATTCGATACCTATTTACGGCCGTAACGGGCCGTTGCGGCTGGCAAAGTTGTCCTAAACATAAGTTATGAAGGGCGTTTGTTGATGGTCTTATCGATAATGATGAAAAAGTAGCTTCTTCTAAGAAACATAGCCAATTCAAGAAGAGAGTGCAAAAACCATGCCCTATTTATGACCAAAATGGCCAAAATCACCAAAAACCGATACCCTATTTATAACCAAAACGGCTGAAAAACCATACCCTTTGGGGCCGCACTTACCTATATAGCCCATATAAGGGAGTACCCCCCCGGGGGAAATGACAAAGCGTGTTGCCCTGGGGCATCACAGAAGCTTTAAAAGGCGTAACCACGATTTAATAGCGGTTGACTGATAAAAAAAATACACTCTTTGTGTTTCACTCGCAGTGCGGCAGCATTAAGATTTCCACTTGTTGCAGATTTGGTTCTCGGCAGAAACGACTCTCTCCATCAAACGCAGGTAAAACTGTTTAATTTTGTAGATAGCGGACTATGCAATTGTGAAATGTTTAGTAGTTATAAGGTTTCATATTTTACCTGGACATGAAATGATATAATTTTATGTCAACCTAGTTAAATGTTTTTACAGCGTTAAATAAGGCTTTGGCGGTTGAAAGAAAAAGAGTAAGCGTCATTGAAAATTGCCGCCCAAAACAACGAACTACACACATTTTTTGCAGTGATAGCATCTTCACGGTACTGCTATTTTTTTTGGCGTTTATCAATAACTTCTTTCGCGACGACAGCCACAATATAGCTCAGGGCATGACGAACGGCAAACAACAAGCCATCAGCGACGAAAACATTAATTAATTCAAACTGTATCGTCAACGCTAAGCGAATTATAAACGAAAGAGATAACTATATTGCTCGACTGAGACAGTGTACAATAGAATCAATTCAATGTTGGACGTGTCTCAAAATGCGTTCGTTAGATTTATTTACCCAGAAAACAACACATTCTGTCTTTACTTTTTAAGACTACCAGTATTCGGTAGACAATGATCTTTGATAGCGTAAGCAGCCTAAGTGACATACAAAGAAATACCGGTTTCATTTTAGATTTCCCTTAAAGTGGTATGCTCATCGCCTTAAACTGAGATG